TGGTGGTGGTGGTGGTGGTGGTTGGGGGTGGTGGTGGTGGTGGTGGTGGTTGGGGGTTTTGGTGGTGGTGGTCGTGGTCGTGGTAACAGGCTGGTCTAAACAATAAGCCTGAGGTTAAATACGAAGAAGAACTTTAGCAACTGATATTCACCACACAGATCAGTAGACCGCATTTCTTTCCAACTGAACACGATCCGGCTGTTCATGTAAATGCACATATGGATTGCACAATGATTTAGAAGCAATTTTAGCAAGTCAATGAAACAGAAATGAACAGGTTTGAATTCTCGACCAACAAAGCCTTTGATTAAATAAGAGGAATGAAGAGAAATGTCTGAACTTGACCACCATTTGTGGGAAACCGGTTAATTGCAATCTGAGAGGTTGAAAGTGATCGATCTTTTAAACTCTGTTTTGTCTACTGAATGCAACAAGAAGACAATGAACCGAGTGTTGTTTGATATTTTTAGTGCAAAAAAGATATTTCTGGAAGGTTAGTAAACCAAGGATGGCTATCAATGCTTTTATATGACAACCTCTTCAATTCCAAAAGTTCATCGGGGCCGATGAATATGCTGAAGTCCTTGAATCAAAAGATTGCATAACAAATCTTTCATGCAATGGATAAACTTGATAACTCTCATGCCTTTTCGCACCTGATGAGGTCACTAAGTGTGTAACCACCTATGCGAAGGAATTTGTTCTCGGTGTTATTAGTTGAATGAGCTGTATCTGACAAACTAAATTCCTGAGATACTGAAAACTGTCTATCAAAGCGAAAAAAACCACTTCAGTTTATCACTCACTCGCCTCGTATCTGAACAACCTGCCTCCACTCGATTTCTCAACTGTTTAGCTTCTTCCGGTGAGGGGAAGGAGGTGAAGTAGTGGTTGCTTCACTTGAGGGAGAAACGAAACGGGTGGTCTGGACAGACCAGGGCATGGCTGCACTGTGTAGAGCACTGGTGTAAATCTCACTGTAATTTTTTAAGGGTCGTCAAGTGATGGATAAGCGGGCAGATTTTTCGAGTTATTGAGTAACTAGCTTTTTTATTTTCCAGCTTTTTCTCACCCCATCCCAAATTCTTAGCTATTGCCCTGTTAAGAGCGACATTCTTTTTAAAGTACCGGAAGTGGTAACATTTATTGCTTAACGAGGGCCCCAAAACTGCATTCAAGTCATAATTTCTCCCGATGTGGAAAATTCGACAGTTGATTATGCCGCAAACGCGGATGAAATTGTGTTAATTGAATACGGTAAGAATGATATCCGGATTGCCTAAATGGTCAGAC